TCGGGGTGTAAGATTGATTGGCATTGATTTCAGCCACTGTATATTGTTTATTGCTGGTATTCTCATTCAAACCACAGGTGTAAAAATGCCTCACAGGACACATTATGAGCTGAGACTTGATGGTAGGGGAATTTCAGGTAGGATTTTCTTAGTTCCATTTTCTGTTCCTTTTTATATGCCGTTGGCATAGTTGTGCCTCCTCCTCAGAGCAACGCTGTTGTGTGGTTTCCAGTTAGCTCCGTGTCTGTTGCTCAGGTTAAGGAGGCAAGTAGGGCTGAAATCCAGCCCATTTTGCCCTCGGCAAACCACACGTGCTGGCTGGGGGCGCCTCCTGCTGCAAAGAAGGGGCTCCTCTTCCTAGTTACATATCGCAGCGTCTGTAAGCTAGCGTGACTCTGACTGTGGGCACACTGAAATTCAGAAAAGAATACATAAGTCCGAAATTCACCCCACAGTATACGTGGCCATTTTGTTAAAACAATCTAACGACGTTAACATGCTTAGAACAAAACATCGAAGCGTTCTCCATCCCCCTCTGTCTTGCTACCAAGATACGACCACTGCTAAGCCTCTTCTTTCTGCTTTTTGGTATTTATTTCCTTTTTCTAAATAACATATTGCTACTTCTTGATGATGTCTTTGTTTTTAGACATGAGCTATTGAGTTTCTGTCAGGGAACTGAGGGTTGGGTTCTCTTGGCAGATGGGGTGAGGTCTGCTTTCCAGCCCTGTGGGCTCAGAGTGCTGCCATCACCATTACTGGGTTACAGGGCTGGCGTTTGTGTGGTTGGGCCACGTAAATATTCCCCCTGCCTGAGCCAAATAGGTACTTCGACTCCATTTTCTCTTGTACAACTTTTATTTTCCTTGCAATTAATATTAACCTTGTTTTTCGTGTGCTTAGTTTTTTTTTTAGCTACACCTTAGTTTTTTTTGCTTGTTTGTTTTTGCTTTGTTAATGCTCTAACAGATTTGTCACAGGTAAAAATGCAGTTTTCAAATTTATCCCAAGCCCATTTAGAGCACTCTGTCTAAACACTCCGGGTCCTTCCCTTAGAGCAGGCTCTCCCATGCCCTTGGCTCTGCCCCACCTGAAGGGCTCCACCTGTCACACACCGGGTTTCCTGTTGCCTCCTGTCACCATCATGCTGGGAGGTCTGTTTGCAGCTCCCACTATGTCATGTCTCCCATTTTCTTGGTGTGCCCCTACATTTTGGCAGAGGACGTCATCTAGTAGCTTCCAGGGAAAAGGAACTTGGGAGGTAAATATTTTGACACTGTATGTCTTAGAAGAAACTATAGGGGAAATGCATTACGACTGGATTTGGCAATGACTTCTTGCATATGACACAGAAATCACAGGTACAAAAGAAAAAGAAATGGGACTTCATCAAAATTAAAAACTTTGATGCGTCAAAGGGCACAATTAACAATGTGAAAAGGCAACTCATGGAATGGGAGAAATATTTGCAAATTATATATCTGACAAGGGATTTAGATCCAACTATATAAACCACTCCTACAACTGAACAACAAGAAACCTGACAACCCAATTAAAAACTGGGCAAAGGACCTGAAGAGACATTTCTCCAAAGAAGACATACAGATATTCAAGAAGCCCATGAAAAGATGCTGAGCATCAGGAAAATGCAAATCAAAACCACGACAAGATCTAGCTCGCTCATTAGGATGGCTATTATCTTTTAAAAAGAACAAAAACTAGTGTTGGTGAGGTTGTGGAAATGCTGGACCCCTGTGCATTGTGGGTGGGAATGTAAAATGGTGTGGCAGCTGTGGAAAATGGTATGGTGGCTCCTCAAAAAATTCAACAGAGAGTTACCCTATGATCCAGCAATTCCACTACTGGTATATCCCCCCAAAGATGGGGAACCAGGAGATTGAAGAGCAAGTTGGACATCCATGTTCACAGCACTATTATTCACAACAGTCAGAAAGCAGATGCGACCTATAAAGGGATGAATGGGTAAACAAATTATGGTCTATTCATACAGTGGAATGTTATTCAGCCTTAAAAAGGAAGGAAATTCTGGCACCTACTATGACATAGATGAAGCTTGGGCATTATCTTAAGCAAAATAAGACAGTCACAAAAAGAAAAATACTGTATGATCACTTATATGAAGTTCCTAGTATCGTCAAATTCACAGAGACAGAAAGTAGATGGTGGTTTCCAGGGGCTGGGGACGGGGATGGGAGCTAGTGTTTCATGGGGACAGAGTTTCGGTTTGGGGTGATGGGACATTCTGGAGGTGGATCGTGGTAAAATCTGCACAATGACGTGAATGTACTTAATGCCACAGGACCCAACCCTTTTAAATGGTTAAAATGGTACATGTAATGTTGTATCTATTTTACCATGCCTCAAAAAATGAGGAATAGTCATTAAAAAGAAAACATGTTGGCTTATGGTATTTCATTTCACTTGGCTTTTCAAAACCATTGTGAGCGCTTCCCCTCTCTTTTCTCCAACAGAATTCTCTTGGTCTTCTTCCATCTCCTTTTCCCTAAACGTACAGGAGAAGCACTGCCTTCTCTCCTTCCCTGTGGGCAGCACCCTTATCTGCTCCCCTCGCAGTGGCCCGGCCCTGCACCCTGGTTGGTCTTGTCCATAAACGTCAGTCTCCCTCACCAGGGGCTACCTCCCCCCTTACTGAGCCCGTGCTTGGGGCTCCAGTAGCCTGTGGCCACCATCCGGCCTCCTGCTCTGCTCCTCCAGACGTTGTCATGTCTGCTCTTCTTAAACTGACCCCCTGCCACACACACACACACACACACACACACACACACACTATTATTACTGTTCTCACAGGGCACCAACGTGTCAGCCTGCGAACCCCGCTTCTTGTTCTCAGGCACATTCCTCGGAAACGTGCTTACAGCCAACGATAGGATGGCATTGTTTCTACCTTCCTCACGACTCAGCAGGGTCACAGCCTGCACACCAGCCCCATCTCCCTGGGGCTCGCAGTCGGCAGGGCCCTGTAGTTTGCGTGCGTATTTTCAGAGAACAGAAGGAAAAGAAAAGAAGGACCTTCTATAAAGTGATCGTACTGTGAATTTTCACAAACCAAATCAGCAGTATGTAATTTGTGCATTTTGCAGTTGTGGAAATTCATAACCCAGGCCTCGGTGCCAAACGGTCAGGAGGACCCCCTGAGCTTGGTGAGTGCAGGACCCAGGCTGAGACGTGGGCCTGTGCCCGGGCACCTGGCTGTCAGCCGTCTGGTCCAGAGGAGGACTCGGTGGTCTTTGTGTGAGAACTCTTCTGTTCCATTATGTGTCCTCTGTGTGGGATGCTGCTCGTGGTCCAGACCCCACGGGGGTGGCCTCCTGTGGTAAATGAACCCACACTTACTATTACATTGAATCCCAGGCGTGGTGTGTACAAGAAAGGAAAACCTGACTGCTTGGCAGAACAGAATAGGGCTGGGAGAGAGCGGCTTGCAGTAGTAACTTGTGGGGTCCCGTAGTGAAGGACACAGGTGCTGGGGGTAGGATGGAGCCCCCCACCTTTCAGGGCACAGCAGCCACAGGAGGGGTGCTCCGGCTGTGCTGGAGTGATTTGCTGTCGGCTACTCTCCTCTCGGTCAAGCAGCTGCCTTCTTCCCTCCTTCCTGGGCCCTGATCCATCTCCTTGGCCTTCCATGCCCCCAGCCCCTCATTGAAATGATGAAGGAGACTTAGTGTGTGTGAGTGTGCACACATGCAGGAGTGTGTGTGTGCGTGTGCGTGCGTGTACATGCACGCACATATGTGCTCTCCACCTCGCCCCACCCTTCACTCCCCAGGAATGTTTTACTTCTTTACAGATTACTTCTCCTTCAGGAAAACATGGTCTTGTCATTGGCCCCAAACACAACATTCCTGGAATCTTCCGAATGGATGATTTGGGGGAAAATGTCTAAATACAAGATTGGCTTACATTTAGATGATGGTTACCTGACGCACAGGCAGGTTCTGGTGGCTGACTTTTAATGCAAGGGCCAAGTGTGGTTCTAGGGTGAATGTTTCTGGTCTTATCACTTCAGCTCTTTGAAATCCTGGTATTCATCTGTATAAAAATATGGTTTCTAATCTTAGAAACTCGTAATCTCTATGTCCCTAAGCCTCGCCAGGTTAAGGATGAATAAGGCCACAGTATGGGTGATGGCACATAAACCCCACCCCAGTGTCACCAGCTTCCAGCCCCACAGGCTCGCCGAGGGGCCCCTGTGCTCCACCCACTCTCCATCTGCTGGCATCTGGGCCGCCAGCCTCTGTGGCACCCTTCCCCCCTCCACACACATAGCCCTCTTAGCCCTGTATACACCTGGGCTCCCGCCAGGGGCAGCCCCACCCTGCGAGACCCACTCTGACAACAGGCCCATTGCTGATCATCCCTGGGGTGTAGACAAAAACTGCCAGCCACACTTACACATCACTGTGTCACACAAATGCATTCGAGACCCACAGGTCTGACAAAGGCACAGACACCATTCCTGGGTGGTTCCTAAGCACTTTGTAGCTCAGCTGAACATAGGTCAGGGTTTTACTGAACAAGCGTGTCAGTCCAGCCCTTCACCCTACACAGCCTCTGGCCTCCATCTCCTCACCCACCCACTGACACACACACACTCACGTCCCCACATTTGATGTCTGGTTGGAGATGCCAGAGAGTGCAGGCTGACTTGAGACCCCCCCCGCCCCAGAAAGTGAAGTGTCACTCTTACAGCCCCCTCTAACAATGGCTCTCGGGTTGCCCTCACATGGTCTGAAGCTGGGTGCTCTGGCTAACGTAGGTTACGGCTCTGACTCCGTAGCTCGGAGCCGTGACTATGGGTGTGTGTATGCACCCACATCGCGGGTCCACTGAGCCCACGTCAAGCTCTTATCTCCAGAAAGGCTCTCTCTGTGACTGGGGACTCCGGGGGAGCCCTGCTGCCGATGATGTTGGGCGTTTCAGCAGTTGACACTGATACCATGTCCTATTGTTCTCTCCAGCCAGCTGCCTCCCTTTCACACTTAAGAGCGGGAGCAAAGGACCTGCTTTGCTGACACTGAGAAGCAAGACAGACACCCAGGAGCAGATGAGCAATGACCCTGCAGAAAGCAACCTGGACTCCTGCAATGCAACAGGTACCAAGGGGTCGCTGGGGGACCCTCCGTCCCCTGACACTATTCCTGCCCCTCCCCCATATTCTGTCCTCCTTCTGAGTAGGGCCTGGTGGACAAGTTGGCAGGACCACTGTCCATGGTGGGGGAAGCCGTGGGGATGCTCGGTGTCAGAGCAGTGTCCGGAGTGCAGAGGCAGCCTTGCGTGAATTCTGGAAGACACCGTATGCCTTTTCCCCTTTTATTTATTGTTTTCTAGTTTTGAGGATTTATTTGACCAATATCCTTCCTTTTCAGCTGTTGTAGCTTTTGAAGTTAGGCCGGACACTTTAACACCACTGCCAAATGAGTAATTTCATGTCACAATGAAGAATAACGTCCTTACTCACCACCAAACAAGGGCATTTTCAACACAGAAACAATTTATATTTCTTGTATCTGATGGCTTTTACGGCTGAACGATGGAGCAAATAGTTCCTGATTTATTTGAAATTTTTTGTGAAAGGGGACTATTAGAACCTTGGAAACAAAGTTTCTAAAATACAAAAACAGATGTGCTTTTCTCTGTTTCTAACACAGAGAAGGCGGTGGCCATCTTTAGAAGTGATCAGTTTGTATGGTTAGGCATGTTTAAAATAGCAAAACCCTTACAACTTCTAAGCTGTCTGGTTTTGTATATTCATTGAAACCCAGGGGGCTTTGCACAGAGCTAGTGGGGGACCCTGTTTAGCTGGGAGTGCTTCTCGAGTGGCAATGCCCATTCGTTCCCCTGTGAATATTATTTAGCCCCTGCCATAAGCAGGCCGGACTCTGGGACCTGGAAACCCAGTTAGGACCAAGATACAGTCCCTGTCTCCACCGGCTCGTGTCCTAGCTGGTGAATAGAGAATACGGCAGCCAGCACGTGTCGGGGCACCATTTTGAAGACACAGTTGGTGGGTCTTGCTGTTAGATTGAAGGGAGGCACGAGGAAAGGAGAAAAGGAACATTCCTGGTTGGCTGTTTGGTTTGGTGTTTTTCCCTGGTCCGTTTGCTATTATTGGAGAGCAGGGAGGTGCAAGTTTGTGGAGTGGGAGAACCGAGGACCGTGCTTTGGATGTGTTGGGTGAGGAGCCTTGTAGATCGATGTCCAAACAATGCAGAGTAGACAGTGGAAGATGGGATTCTG